TTTCCACTTCTGTAAATCGAGTAATATGTTAATAAAAATATAATGTAATATATGTTTCGAATTCGTCTCGATGTCCTCTAAAGCTATGAATAAAAAAAAATATATGGTCCTATTTAAGAAACCCAAGGTGACCTTGACTTTGCCAATAGAACAAACTGTTTTCAAAATTTGCTTTACTAATATCTATTGTGCACTTCATACCCTGAAAATTTTATTTTAAACTTTTTTTCGTAAGGTGGCTGCAAGTGGGAGAAAAATCGTGAGTAGCGTTACAGGTAACACCCTGTATACTTAAATGAATGAAACCATATGCTGAGTAAATGCAGTTAAAAGTCATAAAAATAGTTCTTGACTTGATATTAATAATAAATCTAAATTTTTACGTATTTCGATGAACATAACTTACTTCTACATTAACGGATTTCAATAAAATTAAATGGTTTAAAACATAGTTGACTTTATTATGATCATTATTAAATGAGAAAGTTACAAAAAATTATTCTACTGCTTTTTTCTAAATTCCATTGCTTTTCTGCGGTTCTGAACTGCAGTTTCTTTCATTCACGTCATTTACAGAACTAATCGGTACAGCTTCTCAACAAAATTAAGCCGTTCGGACAAATTATAAAAACTATACTGTTTTAAAGAATTTATGTTTTTGACATTGACTGCATAAAAATATAACGTCTCAAGGAGTTTTTACTAGTGGTGGAAATAATTCGTTTATATTGTGTAGATCATTTTCGCTTATATCGAAATTTTACTGTATCTTACACACAGAAGATCGTTGCACTAAGTTCGTGAGAAATTCATGAAACTCAGGTCGAAAGATAAATAAAATAGCCTTCTCCGATCAATTCTCGATCATCCAAATCGTTCGAAGAGTATTCATCATCAGTATATAACCCATCGAAAGTGGTCTACTTTCAGGTTAGGAATTCACTCGTATTTGACGAGCAATCAAATCGATCGGTGTCTTTCGAAATTCGCCTATTAAGCGATGTTACAGCCATTATTTTGATGACGCGTTTTACCACTTTTCGACATAGTGAAACCAGGACAGCATTGATCCTGTTGCGTCAACGACTGCGAATTGCTACTGTGAAACGCCGAGTAATATTCCTTGTTTTTCTCGCACTGTTCGTTCTTTTCCCGTGTTGGAGCGTCAGTTTCGACCGAAGACGCTCTGTCTTCGCGGGATTCGTCTGATGACGAGCTTGAATTCGTGTTCACGCTCACTTCCGGCTTCGTTTGAATAACTGCTATTTGATTCTCTGCACGAGGCGACAAACTGTCTCTGTGTTGTCTGAAATGTTCCTCCGTGTCACTTAGCAAAGAGCTGAACATCTCAGAGTTCCTTGACATCGTTGCTCCCGTCGAGTTTGACCTACATTCTGTAAATATATTCTGTTTAGATTATACAATAATAGTACATATCGTAGTCACGATTGGTCGCGAATAAATTAAGATGCCCGAATTTGGTGCATCCGTGTACAATATAAGATTTTTTTATTGTTAATTAAAGATGTAGCTGTCCTTCAATATTACGCATTACTTTTTACAACTAGTTTTTTACGCGGTAAATTATAGCACAATTTATGTGGTAGTTTTTATACATGTTCTTAATCTCCACGAGCAGAGAATGTATTCTTTTAGAAATTTTATAAGTATTTATGTCGCAAGAAAATGAAAATAGGGATTTGACTAAATTCCTAAGGTATATACATTCAATTCACAGAAGATATTAAAATAATAATTCTGTGGTATGATTTCCCTGAAGTGATTTGATCAAATCCCTTAACTGTTTTAGTGAAAAGATGAAATAATATTGTTTAGGCATTCAAAGTATTTATTTAGTAAACTATAATTATTTAATGTAGAATAATTAATACATCAATAGTCATTGAAACACAAATTATTTTTTCGAAACTAATTAACAATAGAAATAGAAACTTAAGCTGATATTTTTAGTGAAATTTTAAACATTTTTCACGAATGTAATTAATAAATAATAATGTTTATTCGTTTTTATTAAAACATGTTGTTGAGTTGTGGCATCTCGAGTTACAAAGTTGTTATTTTAACGTCTTCCGTGAATTGATCATATATGCCAAATATACTCTAATTTATGAATATGAATAAATGTACATTACGTGATGGTAGTTTAATGAAATGTATCGAAATTAGCAAACTGATGAAAATTTAGTCAAAGAAAAGATCGGCAACAAGTCATTAAAAAAAATTAACATTAACAATGAAAATGATATCGAACTTTCAAAGATTTTAAACGATGGTGATGATATTGTATTTGTGTCAATTAAAAAAAAAAAACTGATTAATTTCGAATATCGATAGTGATATTGAATAAGATTTACTTTTATTTTCTGAAACCTTGTTACTTTTCTGATAAACTACTTAATATAAATATGTGCTTGTAAATGTTATATACATTAGCTTTTATTTCTAATATATTTTCTTTTATACTGATAAAGTTTATTTACGTGATTTTCATTCATGCAAACCGAATCCACGTGAGACGAATACTCCGCGTAAACTGAGAGGTATACAACTGGGACGGCTAAAATGAGGTCAATCTTTGTGAATATTTTTGGATGAAACTAATATATTGTTGAAATGAAACTTCTATGTCTGCGACTCAGTGTGGGGGCATCACAGTCGTCCTTCAAATCAGAACATTACATAAAAGTGTAATTAGAATTTCTGACTTCTAAATTTCAAAGTTTATGAATTCATCAACTGCCACCTTTTAATATCTCCAATAATCAAATTTTCTAAATTTGCAACTTTTCAAATTTTGAGATTTCCAAATACCCAAATTTCATAATTTTCAAACCGACAAATACCCGTATTCTCGAATCCTTAAATCTCCAAATTCCTAAATCCCTAGAATCTCAAATTTTGCAAATTTCCAAATTTCCGAACTCCTAAGCTGCAAATTTTTGATCTTTTAATTTTTTAATTTTCAAATTGTCAAACAATTAAATCTTCTATTTCACAAATTTTTAAATTACCAAATCTCCAACCATTGAATTTGCAAATTTCTAAATTCTCAGTTCCAAATGCAAAATTTTCAAATTTGTAAATTCTCACATACGCAATTATTAGATTTGCAAGTCTTTAAATGACTAAATTTCTAAATATACAAATCCTTGGTTTTTAAAATGCCTAAATTTTGAGAAGCCTAAATTTTCTCATTTTCTAAATCTTAATTTTCTAAATCTTAAAATTTTTATTTTCCTTTTGAAAGTTTTTAAATTATCAAATTTCTATGTTTTCAATTTCTAATATTCCTAATTCTCTCTACCTTCAAATCAATAAATTTTCGAATTTCCAAATTCTCAATTTCTCAATTCTCCAATTCCCAAATCTCGAAATTTTGAAATCTCAAATTTCCAAAACCTCGAATCCTCAAATATTCAAATCCCCAAAATCCCGATTTTACAAATTTAGGAATATCTGAATCATTAAGTTATTAAGCTAGCAAATTTCTTTCTAAATCTACAAAATCTCAAATTTTCAAATCCAAAAATCTTAAATTCCTGAAGTCTAAATTCTCAAATCTTAAATTCTCTAATTTCATAATTCCTAAAAAATAAACCTTTCAATTTCTAAGTTGCGTAATTTCTAGATTATTAATAATCCAAATCTATTCTAACAAATATAGTTGTCTTTTCGATTTATAACTTCTGTAATATCCACAGAATCGAACAAAAGATATTAACTAATGCGAGCGATCACGGGCGTTTTCTATTACGGTTCTACACGGCTCAATGCGTCAAGGCGCACGTCTCCGCGCTTTTTATTGTTTTGCATATGGAACATTCTGGATTTCCTAATTTTCTATTGTTTTTTGGGGAGGGTTCTAGAACATTCCCACTTACCTGTCATGCCACGCTTCTAGAATCACCTCGATCAATCTTGACATCGATCATTCCCGATCATTCATCCACGCGTTCGTTAACGGCGCACTACGTGACGGACGTACACACTCACACACGCACACATACAAATTAACGCTTACACTAAAAAGAAATTAGGTTTTTACTATTAATTTTTTTCTAAGCTATAAATAAAGTGTTTCCGCTTTCTTTAATACGTTGATATATATGTTCTGTTACTACGTAAACTAGAATGTTTTGATTTCACAATAAATACATGTTTCACAGTAGATAACGGTTATATTATTTTTTCTAATATATATGTAGAGTAGGGTTTTAAGAAGAATCGAGTGAATCATTTGATATCTTTTCCATCATTTGTCTTTTGCGATTTGGTTACGAGGTTACGAAATATAATAAAAAGAGGAGAAAGCCGATATTGAACTTTTGAGTTGTGCACATCATGGAATTTGTTAATTTGTTAAAACGTTATTAATTTCATTAATAAAATTCCTATATACATATATTACCGATGTATGTACTTATATTTAGCTCTTTAAAAAAATGGCTCTTAACTCCAGAAAGATTACCGACCCCTGTGCTATACCCTTACATTGTTAAAATATTATCTTACACGCTTGAAGTAAGGTAATTAACACATTTATATTTATAAACATTTTCTAGTTCATATTAGCTATAACGTGTTTTTCAGAAAACAGGTCTTACTTAAATGCACACCATTCCTCTACTCTCTCTTACATTTACTATTTTCATAAAAAAAAAAAAAAAAAAACAATAGTTACGATTAATTTGATCTGACAGAATATTTACTCACCTCTCGTATCGTTTTTCGTGGGCGAATTTGCAACAGATCTTCGAGCTACATCTTGAAATGTAATAGGCGAATACATCCTTCTTTCCGTCTCTAGCAAAAACGTTGAGTCGTTAGGCGTTGGAGAAGCTATCTTGGAACCTCTTCTAGAAGCTGTGTCTAAACAATTTTGATTCTCGAACATAGTTGCGGCTGTAAAAGCAGCAGGAGTGCCCGCTGATACCCTTTTGTCAGTACTTCTTGTGTGCCATTGCGGTGGTTCTTGAATGGTTATTCCTTTCGTTAACGAAGGCCTGTGTTCCCTTTTTTCCAACCAGTACGTTTTCATCGTTCCTGAAATATAAATGTGTATAAGGGAGCCTATCTATATTATGCTAGTAATTGGTGCCAGTCGCTGTATTAGTAAGTCATCGAATTGTCGAACATCTTGCGTTGCCTGTACTAGGTCCATTATTGAAAAAAGAAGGCAAGAAAGGAAACAGCTATTTCTTCTTAGGGATTTTTGAGCATTTCAGAATTTAGAGATATAAAAGTCTAGGGATTTCAGGAATTTGAGAATATAGAAATTTGAAATTTAGCGATTTGGGGATGTAGGAATTTGGTGATGTTGGAAGTTGCAGATATTGAGAATTAGGGATGTAGGGATTTAGTAATCTAGAGATTTTTAAATTTAGCGATTCGGGTTATAGGGATTTGGAAATTTAACAATTTGGGGAAGTAGGGATTTAGGTATGTAAGGATTTGAAGATGTAGAACTTTGAGGATGTAGGGATTTGGATATGATGGAAGTTTGAGAAGTCGAGAATTGAGTAAGTAGGGATTTGGGAACCTGAAAATTTAGAAATTTAACGATTCAGGGATGTAGGGTTCTCGAAATATAGGGATTTAGGGATGTAGGGTTCTCGAAATATAGGGATTTAGAGATGTTGGGATGTAGGGATTTAGGAATGTAGAGATTTGGAGATGTTGAAAATTAGGGATGTATGGATTTAGAGCTTTTAAGAAGAAACAATTTTCTTTCACACAGGTACAACCAAGGCAAGAAACGCAAAAGTTCGACTACCTACTAGCACGACTACTAGCACGACTACTAGCACCAATTACTGGCATAATGTAAACACACCTTTAGATTAATGCAAAAATAAGAGCAACTTTTTCTCAACTTAAAAATATCTCAATTCAAAATAACGGTTTTAATCAAAACAAGATCTTATTGATTTTGTCAGATCGAAGCATAGCAATAATAACAAACTACACGAAATCTTTTTCGGAAACCCACATCATATTCGTGAAATTTCTAAACCTTAATTAATAATCAAATTAAGAGACATTTAATTACTTTATATAATAACAGATAAAAGTAATTTTACTTTCAAAACCATCGATAATATGCAACCCAGTTTGGATTAATAAAGCCGTCTGACTTTACAATTTTCCATTTTTAATTTAGCATTGTAAAATGGATAAAATTGTATCGTAAATTTAGTAGCATAGACTGGTAGAGCAAAGCTTAAAAAAAAATATTCAAAAAACGATTCTAATCAGTAAATAAGAAACAATTCTATTCAAAAACCAATTCCATTGGGCTAAATTGTGCTTAATGTGTGATGGGTTGTGTCGCAAAGCAAAAAAATTGAAAATTGAACAAGTTATGATCGAAAAAATCTCGTTATCGGACAAATGACAAACGATTGTTTTTTGTCACAAATAACACTACCGCTTTTAATATTGTTATTCTGGTAGTACCAGAAGTTGTGGATAGTTATTCTAGGTTGCTGCAAACTAAATATGTAATATTATTGTCGTCAATAAAAATGGATGAATAAAAATGCATATTTCTGACAATAATGTTACAGCACGATGAGCCACAAACAATCGTAAAGTGTCTTTTACACCATTATTTTAATGAAATCAGAAGTATTGAGCTCTACTAGTCTAACGTAATTTAAACATGCAACATTATTTTCATCGCATGATTGCAAATGCAAACATTGTACAAGAAATCCTTTATTCGACAAAAATTTTAGCGTGAAATGAATCCTATCATATATCAATTTAAAGTTTAAAAGAATGACAATTACGTACGTAAACATGAGAATAACATTTTTCATATTATATCTAATATGCAACTGATTCGCTGCTAAATATAACAACGTTGCAAACAATTTAGTGCTTCATATCTAATATTTCATACCGATTCACATAAAAAAAAATGCTGTAGGAAAACAGATTATAATTAGAGAACTGTAAATTCTGAACACAATACTGGAGACAAAATGATTGATTATCAATGTTTTCTTTTTAAAATACTGTGAGTATTATTTTTGGGAATTTCTGAAGCCTCTGACAGAAAATTAATAAGTTCCAACGATACTTGTTTATCTTATAGTGTATTCGTCATGAGGTAAGAGGATAGTAGATATTTAGTTTCCAAAAATGTGGAAAAATACAATCTCGTTTTGCTAGGACCTTAAGCCAAGAAACAAAAAACGCTTTTTCTGAAAAATGCAACATAAACAAATTTCTTTTATAAATCTTGTATATTTCCTTTTCATCGAATTTGAAGGGTAAAATTACAAAATTGGGTTTTTATCGACCTAGATTATTGTACAAAGATTAATTTGTAAAAACAATCGTAACAAAATACTGTCTTCTAATTGCAAAATCCTGGCAAAATGAAGTTGAATTTTTGCACATTTTTGGAAACTAAATCCCTACCATTCTTGTCCATCCTGACTAAAGCAACAAAATTTATCCATAAGACAAAAAAAGATGACTGGTACTTATTAATTAAATAGTAAAATAAATATTTTAATTTGTCAACAATACAGAAATATTGACAATGTTGATATTAAAATTAAAAAATTTTACATATTGCACATTTTAGATATCAGGTATTTGGAAATTTAGAAACTGAAAAATTTCAGAATATACTGATTTAGAAAATTGATACCTCAATTTAAAAAAATAAAATGAAATAGAAAATGAAAATTTGGAAATTTAGGAATTTTAGGATTTTGGAATTTTGGAATTTTGGAATTTTGGAATTTAAAAATTTGGGAATTTGGGAATTTGGGAATTTTAGAATATCAGAATTTTGGAATTTTGGAATTCTAGTATTTTATAACCTTAGAATATGGCGATTAATAACTTTGGAAATATAAAAATTAAAAGATTTAAAAATTCATAGATTTGATTCACTTACATTTTGTTTCGAAAAGTAACTCGTTTTGTATTAAAAATATTCATGAAACGTTTATATGACGAATATCATCAAATTATAAGCATGAAGTATCAAGTATCACAATAAGCAAATTCTAGTTTATCGCCTTCGCTGCGCCAGCTATTTTGGAAGGCATTCTTTGAGGTGGTACAAGATAAATATATCTACTCTGTACTAAACTTCTATATTTAACAATACGAAGGAAATGTATTCTATAAATGTTTTAAAGTATACTCTGTATTGTACTTTCATCTTACAATATGAGAAAAGATTGATTTTGATTTTTACAATGTAATAAATTCAGTTAATGAAATATGTGATTACACTGTACTTTCTTTTTCATAGAAAGTATGAAAAATAGATTTTGCAGAATAGAACAGTACGGTATATTTTACAAGTTTAGTTTACTAGAATTTTATTAATGCTTTTTAATGAAATATTAATAATGACAGTATTAGAAAAACGACGGAAATATTAAGTCATATAATAAACATTTTACTGTGCTTATGTACATGTGAATGTAATTGTTGGCTTCTTTTAAATGGGAACACATATGTGAATTTTGCAAACATTTTCAAATCTTACATTTGTCAATTTTTTTATTTCGAATTCTTGAAATTTTCAAATCTTTAAATTTGTCAATTTCTTTATTCTCAATTTCTGAAATTTTACAATTTTAAAGTTTTTTAATTTTTAAATATTGTAATTCTTAAGTCCCCAAATATCCGAACTCTGAGGTTCTCAAATTCTAACATCAATCAACTTTTAAATTTGCGTAGTAACAGATCTCCATATCCCAAGCACCACAAATTTTTAATCTTCAAATTTGTGAATTCCCAAATTTCTATGTCCCCATACTCTTAGTTCACCCTTAAATTTCTTAACCTTAAAAACTGTTGCAAATAAATGAACAGAACTGTTTTTCCTGTTTAGTTATCATATTTTTTCTAGGGAAACCAGATTTGCTCTAGGCTCTACAATGGAAATGTTTCTATTAACCTCTTACTATTTTTTTTCTGAAAAAGTGAAGATTGTTGATAATATGTTTGTTGATAGGGAGATGGTTCTTAGATAAAAAGAATTTTGTTTGTATTTTTTTAAAGACCATTCTATCAATGTGTTCATCCTTACGACTAAATCATATTGTATTCTTTTATATATTTTGATTCAATATTGGAACTCCCTGCTGAATTTTGAATTTTGCAAGAGACGGAGTACGATTTTTTTTGTCATATTACACTTTTAAAGCATGTTTATTTAACATTGCGGTATTATTAGAAAGTAAATTTACAAATCATCAATTTATAAGAATTGCCACTCCATATGTAAAAAACTATTTCGCAAACAATAATCTATTAGGCAAATATAGTCGATTTCTTAATCGGGGGGGATATCTGTCGAGCATACTTGACAAATAGTAAGAAATGCTCTTTTATTTGTTTCTGATCAAATTATTAATATTTTGACGTTTAGATTTATCGGGAATGCAATAGGTGTATTCGTAACTAAAAATAATGAATGATTAGCACTTTCTAAAATATTACAAAATACAATAACGTTTTAACCAGGTTCCATTTTAATCCCAGGGAGTAAAATGTTTAGGTAAACAATATTTTACAATTTAAATTTTGAGCACCATCCTAATGTATATGCATATTTGAAAATAGTGTGAACCAAAGATCTATGGAAATTAACCCTATTTTTGCAATATGGCATGGAAATAATATACCAAAAAGTAAACTGTATAAAATCGAAAGTATACTGTAAAAATTTAAAATGGTGATTGCAGTAGAATGCAATATTACAAAATACTGATCATATTGTTCTTTTTATAACCGCCTAATATATTTAAATCTTTTAACAATTTTTCATTATAGTGTTGTCAGTTAAAAATACTCTAATCAAAAAATTAAAATTATTCTCGATTTTATCTTTACGCAATCATAGAAAATATGTATATTCTTTGTTCTATCGTTTTAATAATTTCAGCACACACTATGTCCTATGCCTCAGTGACCATGTTCATTAGTAAATTGATACTTTTCATATTTATGGTTTCATGCCTTTCTATAGTTTGATTTTACAATTATTTGTATGCTATTATAGACAGTTTCAATTATCAGATTTAAAGCATTATTTCATTATTAATTCTCTGACCGTTATTAGCGTCTGTAGACGCTTATCTCTTTTCCGTAACAGAAATTTGAAGATGTTTATACGCAAACATCAACTCATGATATTGCAATAATAAAATCTGATAAAGAATGATTAATGCAAAGATGAAGACTAAAGTTGTTTCTTAATTACTGGAAGCATGTATTCAATAGAAACTTTAACAGAAGCAATTTCCATTTCGTACCCTTTCCTTTCACTTCAATTTCTCCTCGTTCTTTAACTTTATATGAAGGCGACAACAATTCTCGCGTTGATTGCGATATATGTATTTGCATCGCTTGACTAGTTGCCTCCATGCGAGACGCCGTGTTCACCGAATCACCGAATAAACAATATCGAGGCATTTTTAAGCCTACGATACCAGCTACCACAGCACCACTGTGTATTCCAACTCGTATTTGAAGATGAAGACCTGAAACGAAATAATATGTACAATAATTACCATTCAGTTTTAATTATGCATTGACTCCCCTTGTGATAATGGATATTTGTTGTAAGACATAGCAATTACAGTGGCCTGTCGACAACTGTTCGTATCAGGTGCTCTAAATGTTGGGCTTTTTCAAGAAGCGTTTATTTACTGGACGACGATGTTTTATTCTAACACGCTAGAAAATCTTAACACACTAATAGACAAAAATGTTAATCGCGTGTTTTTCATTTGCTAAACATCAAAACTGAGAGACACCTTGCACGCATCAAATCGTTAATCTACGATAATTATTTACAAAATAAATTCAATTTTGCATTTGTAACATTCATAATGTTCAATTCAATTCTGAATACTGCATCTCTTATCTTAGAATATCGTATGGTTACACGTTACAGTTTAAACACTATAGTTAAAATATTATAAACTAGACTTGTACTTTCACTTGAACTCATTGTTAGTTTTAAATCTGATTCTAATTATAGTCCACACAATCAAGAATCACTAAATGCATAAAATAATTTTAAGAAAAAAAAATACGCCGACTTCGAAATGTACTAAAAAGTATAAAATAATTTTTATATTTTAATGAAGTAATTTCTATTTCATTCAATCATACAATTACGTCACAGATATGAATGAAACCTATTTACTCGTTAGGTAGTATATTAAATACATTTCAACATTTTCGGAGGCGGCACAAAATTAAAAGATTTTCTTGAACATGTCAACCTTTGGATAGCATCAATGCATCTGGAGTGCATTGTAATTGCCCTTTCTTGTCTTTCCCATGCATAGCACGGGGCGTTCCACTAATATTAATAACAATAGTTTTTCGCTAATATCACGAAAATTAAAGTTTTCCGTCCATTATGCATAAGGAAAAGCTCGTTTAGAATCATGCCACTAATAACGTATTAGAAGGACATAAAAATCGTTCGAAGTTGGTTTCAAAAGTTAACAACAATTTTCGCTAATATCTCGAAAACAATAGCTTTCCGTCAATTATGTAAAAGGAAAAAGTTGTCCAGAACAACGTACCACGCCCCTAACAACATATTCGAAGGACATTAAAATCGTCCGAAGTAGA